CTATACTAAGCATAAGCTAGTTATATAACTCTATAATTACTAGTATAGAGTTTTAGCTATACTATAATATAATCAAATCTAGGCTTCTAATGAGCTTGGGGATCTAGATTGTAATACTATAATATATAAGTACTATATAGAGAGAATAAAGAAACTAGAATTTAATTATTTTTATGGTATTTTAAGAATTCTATTATTATATAAGAGCTATAGCGATTAAGGATAAATAGATACTATAACTTCTAGGCTTTTAATTTAGTCTTTCTATTAAATACCTATTTTAGCTATATAAAGCCTATCTTATGATTAGTCTAGCTAGAGAGAAATACTATAAAAAAAGCTTTATATTATTATAAGTTAAAATCTTATAGCTATATATCCTAGATATTACTAGAGATAGCTTAGTATATTATTACTAAAGTAAGAGCTAATCTATTAGCATAAATATAAGAAATTATTATTATCTACTTTTAATTACTATCCTAAATAGCTTACCTTATTCTTTCTGCCTTAAAGAGATACTAGGTAAAGATTCTTTTTATTTTTAAGAAGATACTAATAAAAAATTTCTTCTTATTTATATTATATATATTATAAGGCTTAATATTATATTAAGTAATCTTTTACTCTAGTTATTCAAAGTATAGAGAGTATTTAAAAGCTAAATTAGCTCTATAGTATTAAGTATTCTTTCTAGTAGTCTATAAGATACTAAGTTAATCTTATACTATATAATAAAATAGTTAACTTAGTTTTTACCTAGCTTTTTTTTAGCTATTTCTTTAGTAAAGTTTCTAATTATTCTTCTTATAGGTAATAAGCCTTATAAAGTAAGCTTTTTAATATACTATATAAGCTCTAGCTTTTAGGTATTATTAAGTAATTATAAGCTATTTACTTTCTCTTTAAGAGTACCTACTTTGCTATAGTAGTGTTTTAATAGCAGGAACCTATTAACACTATAATTTTTTGCAACTTTACTGTAATTAGGCTTTTTACCTAGCTTTAAGGATTTTAGAGCATCTAACGCAGCCTCTATAGCGTTAAAATTAAGGTAGTTAAGCTATATTAAAGTGTAGGTAGTTTTCGACAAAATCGTGCACAAGCCAGGGATGGGCACCAGCTGATGAAACACGATACTGTTAGCCTCCCGAAGCCCTTTTACCATGGCTTCCTGTTATGCAGTGTCTATGTAGTTTTATCTATTTTTTTTACAGTTCTTTATCTACATACTAAGCAGCCTGCTAGCCTACTTATTCTCTCTGAAACAGTGATGGGGGAATTCCAGGGCGGACTCGGACTAGGTGGACTAGGTAGGCTGGACTAGGTACAATTATCACTCCAAACCAGTCCGGAGTGGCCAAGTCCAATCCCACCCCGGAATCGCCTAGTCTACGAAGTCCTCCCCCATCACTGCTCTGCAAAAGGCACCAGTACGATGGGCGGCGACGTACCAGACCAGTTCTCTCTGTATTCTCGGGTCCCGATCTTTTGAGTCGTCGGGTCCCGATCTTTTAGGTCGTCGGGTTCCGATACCTAAAAAATTGGTAGGTAAAAGCTGCTAAGCCTCAATTCATACTTGTTCCGGCGCTTCCGCTACACTGCTCGTCTGACTCATAATGATGCAAACTTTGCCTCATCTCTACTTACCTAGCGCTTGATAGCATCAACATATCTGTTCTGTTTTGTCAGCATTTCCTCCCTTCTCCTGATCTTTTTTTCCTCAACTTTAGAATCGTTGCAATTTGGAGTTAATCTATTGCCCTTGCTGTTATTTACTTCAAAAGTCTTTGCACTGCATGTGCTCACTCCTAGATTAATTTTGTTATCTTTGCAGTCCTCTTATTTCCATTCCAAATGTGGGGACCCCAAAGCTTCTCCCTAATTGCGCTCTTGTTGGAATGTGCTACTGTTGCAACTGCGCACGGCGGTGAACACGACAGTCCCTTAAAGAATTTTGCCCCTGACGACAAGATAAAGAGTTATTTTGGCCTAACTGATCATAACAGTTTGATGGTTGCACACATTGTGCTCATGCTATTTGCGTGGGCTGTCACTCTGCCAATTGGTATGTATTAGTGGATTAAGTCGCTACCTAACACTGTAATTTGCTGACGCTGATGTCTCAAGCCACTATGTTCAGTATTGCACGATTTCGCTACACTATCCTGGCCCAGACTTTATTTTCGGCCACGAATTTTCTTGGTGTCCTCATCGGTGTTATGTACCGAAGAAGAACCCCTGACCTATATCCGAAAAACTCGCACAACAAAATCGGTTGGATAAGTACCTGGCTGGCGTCTCTCTGGGTAGCCCTGAGTGTGATCGATGTTTACGTGAAGTACAACTCACGAAATCACACGGACAATCAGACGACGTATCCACTAAATACCCTGGATATTACTCAGTACTCGCCCTTGGAAAGCGATCATCGTAATTCTGCATGCCAGGATGGAGATTGTAGCCAGTGGGAACAACAGCCTTTGAATCATCTTGATGGGAACAGGCATACTTGGGCTCTATGGTCAGATAGCACTCTTCGAGAAGGTGACTTCAGCGACGACGACGAGGGCGATATCAATCTCCCGACAGGTACCGTTCATGAAAGCAACAACGACAACCAGTTTCTACAGCGAATTGCCGTCAGATTTGCAGGTAACCGAAGCTATATCCTTCTACGACTTCCATACTTGGTTTTGGATCGAACAGTTCTGTTTTTGGGCTTTGTTGCTTTCGCGTCGGGCACTGTTGTTTACGGTGGTATCGGTCGCGGTAATCATGTCTTCAACGTCCTGGCTCATTACATCAAGGGTGCCATTTTTGTTTGGTATGGTCTACTAACCTTGGGTCGCTGGATGGGAATGTTTGCAGATTTTGGGTGGGCATGGAATGTCAAACCGTCAAAAGAGGTCGTTGGCAGTTGGTCTGCTGCCGTACCGTCTGCTGAATTCACCGAGTCGTTCGTCATATTTTTATATGGCGCGTCGAACGTATTCTTAGAGCATTTAGCAAGCCCGGGTAAGCCATGGTCTGCTAGAGACCTTGAACATGTCGCTATCTCAATAATGTTTTTTGGCGGTGGTCTTGTAAGTATTTAATTCCATACTGCATTACGCGTCGGCAATATCGTTCGAACTAGCCCATACTCTACATGGACACAGCGCCTTATCATCAAAAGATACTTTACTAACTCTTGAATACGTAGCTTGGCATGTTCATCGAGTCAAAGAAACTTCGCAAGCTACTCAGCACTTCAATGATAGTGAAAAGAGAGTACTTGGTTCCTACTGCCATCGAATCGAACATGTGGGAACGGCCGTTCTCATGGAAAGTTCCAATGAACCTAATGCCCAGCCTTGTCATATTGCTGCTCGGGCTGATGATGAGCGGTCATCACCAAGAATCGATGCTCTCAGCCATGATTCACAAGCAATGGGGCCTGCTATTCTCAGGATTCGCGTTGTCTCGCTCCGCTACGTACATGCTATTGTACGTCCATCCTCCCTCCTCGTATCTGCCTTTACGACCACACACGGAAACTGTTGCTTCTTTTTGTCTTATTTCTGGGGGCATCGCGTTTATCCTTAGCAACAAGGACACAGTAGCCGCAATGGAGTACTATGGTATGGACGCAATGTTCACATTGGCGGTCACCGTTGGTTTGACCGGACTAACTATGGCTTGGGCTGTTTTTGTGTGTGCTGTGAAGGGATGGGCTACGGAGTTTGAGCAATTACGTAGCAAAACTGATTAGAAAAATTGTCAGAGCAGGTAGTGCCAATAGAGCAAGGGATCAACGTTTCTCCGCTCTAAATGGTGTATAGTTATAGCTCAGGCTTCATAGTTTTCTGCTCAGTGATCTGATCGTTGATCACCCGAATTCTATCGTTCAAAGCTCGTTGTACTCCCACAAAATTTATTTGATCATGCTGTAACAAAGGAATACCTTGTCCTCTCTCCTTGTTCTCGTATAAAGCTTCAGCGAATTTTAATACCGTCTTTTCTATGTGTGAGCTCTGAGAGAGCGTTGCTATATAGCTTAGGGACTTGGCAAAACGTTGCACCGAGCACTCAAATACTGTGCAGCATCACCTGATCCCCAGCCTCGGCTTGTGCACAATTTTACCGAAATCCACCTACACTTTAATATTGCCTTACTACTTAATTTTTACACTATAGAGGCTACGTTAGATACTCTAAAATCCTTAAAGCTAGGCAAAAAGCCTAATTACAGTAAAGTAGCTAAAAAGTTTAGTATTAAGAGGTCTCTGCTATTATAACGCTACTATAGCAAAGTAGGTACTATTAAAGAGAAGATAAATAACTTATAATTACTTAATAATACTTAAGAGCTAGAGCTTATATAGTATATTAAAAAGCTTACTTTATAAGGCTTATTACTTATAAAAAAGATAATTAGAAACTTTACTAGAGAAATAGCTAAAAAAAAAGCTAAAGAAAAGCTAAGTAGACTAATTTATTATATAGTATAAGATTAACTTAGTATCTTAATAGACTACTAAAAAAAAATTCAATAGTATAGAGCTAATTTAGCTTTTAAATACTTTCTCTACTTTAAATAACTAAAGTAGAAGATAGCTTAGTATAAAGTTAAGCTAAGTAATATATATAATATAGATAAAAAAGAATTTCTTATTAGTATTCTTATAAAGATAAAAAGGATCTTTACTTAGTACTTCTATAAGTCTAGAATGATTAAGTAAGCTATTTAAAATAGTCATAGAGAGTAGATAATAATAATCATCTATATTTATACTAATAGATTAGCCTTAACTTTAGTACTAATATACTAGGCTATTTCTAGTAATATCTAGGATATATAGTTATAGGATTTTAACTTATAATAATATAAAGCTTTCTTTATATTATCTCTTTTTAGCTAAACTAATAATAATATAGGCCTTATATTGCTAAAACAGGTATTTAATAGAAAGACTAAAGTAAAAGCTTAGAAATCTTAGTACTTACTTTATAATAAATATCATTATATAGCTGCCTAGTTATATAAAATACTTAACTTACTTTTATATAACTTTAAACTATTTTAACTATATATCTATATATTAACTTATAAGATATAGCAGATATTAACTTTATATATTTAAAACATTAGTTTATTAATCCTAACTATAAATCTCTTCCTCTGCTATAGTTAAAAACTTTTTTAAGTACTATAGGTTTTACTCTAGAATGTAATTATATAAGTATATTTAGTATAGATACTTTCTTAAGAACTTAGCTATAATAATTAGCCTGCTTTTCTTTATTTTAAAGGTAGTTCTAATTATTTTTTTATACTAGAATTATAGAAATAGATTTAGTTAATCTTATACTTTATATATTACTATATACTTTTATATACTTCTAAGTAATATATTTAACTTTAAATAAGATTATATAGCTAAGTTTATTACTTATATTATTATATACCTATCTTTAATAGCTATATAACAGGCAACACCTGTTATATATATACAGAGGGGTGACATGAAAAAAGAGTGTTCCTAAAAGTTCTAGTTTTTAAACTAGTATAACTAGCTGAATATTAAATCTATTTCCAATTAGGCTAGCTCATTTTAAAGGCAAGAGGTAGTAGTTTAACCTAGATAGGCTTAGTGCCT